TAGCTCCTGCTCCAGTGATTCTGCAGCTCTTTGTTGTTGTTTGTACAGTGTTAAATGACAGCATCCAATTCTGTGGCTGTTTCAAGGTGGAGGAGCCTAAAACCCTTCTGCAAAGAGCCAAAGCAGAACCACTTAGAATATTCAGAAAAAATCAAGAAGGAAAAGTCTCAGTCCAAACTAGTTTCAAAGCCTTTTCTGGAGAGGCTGAGCTGCTTTGGCTGACACTTGTTCTACCATTTGTATGAAGAATTACACAAGTGTTCAATTTAAGGCAAAGAACGGCCAGAATGCTCAAATTAATGCCTCTGGTTGTTCTGAAACAATGAGCGCACATCCCCAGGCATGGCATTGTTCTGGACAAGTAGTTTGGCTCCAGCTCCAGGACTCCCCTTTTCCCTGGAATTGTGTGAGGATAAGGACTGCCGCCTGCAGCAGCAGAGATGAACTACTGCCCCAAGGATTTAGAGCCTTTAATTGTGGTCACTGCAAGCACTGCCTCTGGGGGAGAACTAACAGCATTCCACTCCTTTTTAGAGGAAAAATTTGCATGGCTGGCTGTTGCTCAAGTAACATTTGGGTGTATAGATACACACACAATAGTATCTCAGTGGCAGAAAATCACTTGACTGGAGAGGATGGGTTTAATTTAAAAGTATTTCTTAAAGAAAAATATATTTTTCAAACAGCAATGAGGTGTACAATCAAGAAATCCTAGGAAAGACATTCTGGTATGTCTGTTCAAAGACAATATTATCAAGACATTACAATATTGATTTTAATTTCATCTCCTTCATGTTTAAGACATCACTTCATGACTTTCAGAGTCTCAGAATGACACATTGATCATAAGGAGGTTAAAGGTGTGAGGACACACAGCCTAAGCAATAATCCAACCCTAGGAAAAAACACTTTCATCACATTGGGGCCTTTCTACCCACATCTCTATCCACCAAAACTAACCACCCTACTTATTTGTAGCTAAGCTATGATTGCTGGGCAAAGTTCTCCACCCAGTGGCCAAATTCATGGATGCAGCTCATGCTCCTGACCCAGAGCATGATCCATCTGCCTGCAACTCACTTTTTATTTTTATTTTATTTTTGTGCTGAATGGTAGCACACACAGGTGAACTACTAGGTGCAGATCATCTAATATGTTCCTACAATAAAACTGGCTTATGGGTAAGTTGCAGCTAAAAAAATGACACTGCCATTATATACAAGTTGGGTCTGAATAGTTGTTATACATTGGCTTCTCATCCAGTGCACGGCATTCTACTGATCCAGTTACTTAATTTACTTCTAATTTTTAATAAAAGGGGACAAGAATCTAGTTAGACCGTTAGTGACACAGGAAGAAAGCCTGAATAGCACTTGAAGGAGTGCAAGGAGAATGCTCCAAGTATTTTTTGAGACTAAAAAGCCTTATAGACATAGTTTAAGCCAGAAACATACCCCTCTGAACACAACACAAAGTAAAGGTTTCGAAAAACCATCACAGAAAGACGTTCCATAGCTTATAAAAAACAAGATACAGCATGTCTTCAAGAGAAAAACGCATTCCATGTACAAAAAAGGAAAGCATGTTGAAGAAACATGCCAGATCTGGCATGGATGTTCATAGCCCAGCACACCTGCTCTCCAGCACTTTCTCAGTAATTAGACTTGTGGTTTCCCTCCACATTCCCAATCCTTTGCCCTGAGCACTTCGGCTGCTCATGGCTCACCACTGGGACCACTCAGTGTGTACAAGTCCATTGCTGGACTGTGTAGTATCAGCCCAGCTGGAAACAAAAGCTTCTGTAGGAAATCAGTGAAGATATTCAAGCATGATACAGCAGTGGAAAATATTCTTTATTATTAAAAAAAATTAAAGTCCTTAAAGAGCATTGGGACTACCAGACCTAACTAAGCCTTTTGAACTGTTCACATATGAGCAACTGAATGTTGTTCTGGGGGTACTGTCACAGACCCTGAGAAACCAGCAAAGGGCTATGGCTTACTTCTCCATACAGCATGACAGTGTTAGCCAAGGGTGGCTGGGGTGTTTGAGAGCTGTAGCAGCAACTGTTATCCTGATCCACGAGGCCCAAAAACTCACCCTTGGGCAGCGCATTGTCATGTATGTACCCCATGCAGTCCAAGCTGTGCTTGAGCAAAAGGGGAGCCACTGGCTGTCCCCTAGCAGAATGCTTACATACCAAGCTGAGTTGTTGGAACAGGATGATGTTACCCTGAAAACAACATCTATTGTAAATCCTGCTATGTTTCTGTCCTCAACATTGACTGACAGTGTGCCTGAGCATGACTGTTTGCAGACCATTGAGGAGGCCTATTCCAGCAGACCAGACCTGAAGTATGTGCCTCTGGAAAAACCAAACTGGAAATTGTACACAGACAGAAGCGGTTTCATGCAGGATGGAAAGCAAATGACAGGGTATGCAGTGACAACCAAGGACGAGGTAGTCGAGGCGAAGGCCTTGCCAGCGGATGTATCATCCCAAAAGGCAGAACTGATTGCACTGACAAGAACTCTCGAACTGAGCGAAGGAAAGAAGGTAAATACATGGACTGATTCTAAATATGCATTCAGTGTTGTACATGCCCATGGAGCCATCTGGAAAGAGAGAGAGCTACTAATGGCCCAAGGCAGTGGGATCAAACATGCAGACCAAATCCATGCACTCCTACAGAGTATGTGGAAGCCTGAGGAAGTGTCTATCATGCATTGCAGAGCTCATCAGAAGGGGAAAACAACTCCTGAATTGGGAAATCATTTTGCCAACCAGGCGGCAAAAGAGGCTGCAGAAAAAGGTATCCCAGCAGTAGTACCACAGAAGGAAATTGATCTGACAGGGTTCACCCCAAAATATGACAAGAAAGACCACCAGTTAATTAAGTCCCTTAACGCTGAAATGAAAGTGAATAGGCTGTTACACCTACAGGACATGTTGTAATCACACCCCAACTCCTTAGGGAGATAGCTCTGCGGGAACAAGAGGCTACCCACTGGGGAACAGAAAACCTTCTAAAACATTTGAAGAAGGCAGTAATAGGGACAGGTATGACCAAAGTCGTGCAATCCATTGTAAGTAAATGTGAAATCTGCAGGCAAAATAATCCTGATACAGGCAAGATAGTGGTGCCAGGGGTAACAAAGGCCAGGGACCTTCCCGGAGATTACTGGCAAATAGATTTTGCTGAGTTACCATCCAGGGAGGGATACAAGTACATACTAGTACTGGTTGACACGATGGCCTGAAGCTTACCCCTGTCACACTAACACAGCAAGGGAAGTGGTAAAAGCTTTGCTCAACCATATAATTCCAAGGTTTGGGGTTCCTCTAGAAATGTCATCAGATAGAGGGACACATTTTATCGCAACAGTAGTGAAGGTTTGTCGCGTCCTGGGAATTGCCTGGGACCTGCATACTCCCTACAGACCTCAGGCAAGTGGCGAAGTAGAACGTATGAACGGTACTCTTAAAATGCAAATTGGTAAAATTTGTCAGGAAACATCCATGTCATGGGTTCAGGCTTTACCTCTAGCTCTGTTGAGAATTCGCATACAACCAAGGCGGAGAAACAACTTAAGTCCTTATGAAATATTATATGGGAGACCATACCAAGCTCCACATATTCCAGGGGACATTCACATGAGGGGGAAAGTTGATCTACGAAAGTATTTAATGGCTCCAGGTGCTACTTTACAGAAACTCCAGAGATTCATTGAGTTATCCAGACCCATAGGATTGGACACCCCTGCTCATCAATTCCAGCCTGGAGACTGGGTCTACGTTAAATGCTGGGACAGTGACCCACTGCAAGCCAAGTGGAGAGGACCCTTCCGAGTCCTGCTGACTTCCCTCACTGCAGTCCAAGTTGCTGGCAAAGGACCCTGGTTTCATTACTCCAGAGTTAAGAAAGCTTCAGTTCCTGGAACTACTAGCAAATCAGAGCCTGACACCGATGAAGAGCATGTGGCCTCGACTGTTTCTTCTGTATATGTTATCTGTACAGTTGGTAACTATGATTCAGGTTTAGAACCAAAATTTACATGTGGCTTTAGCAAAAATGTATCCAATATCCTTCATGAAAGTGAGTGCTGGATTTGCACTATGGATTCAGCTGAAATTTGGCAACAAGTTTAAATTCTACATTGGGCAATTCCCGAGGATTTCTCACTGGGTTTTGGAGACATTCTCCACAAACTTACTTCATGGTTACCGAACTGGACCTGGATGAAACAGCTGTTTATATTAGTGATATGCATAATTAGTGTTTGTATAATAGCTCATTGCATGAACCGATGTTGTAGATGTTGGCCATCCCTCTGGTATAATGATAGGTATAAGTGGTAGAAATTGGACAAGATTGAGTTTTATCCATCTCTAAAGGGGGGACTGATGCCTCAGAGCTTTTTTTTTGATTCTTAAACTTTTACAGATTTTAGAAGTAGATGTGTAGTGAACGTAGATTTTAATGTAGCTGTATTATATCCCTTACCCTGTAGCATAATGTTTACACATACCCAACCCTATTATCCCATTTCATATCAATCCCTCTAAAATTTCGTTAGCATGTTTAGTCTTCTTTTCAAAGTAGAATTGTAGAAAAATGCCCTAAGGCCTGGACCAGAAGATATCACATAGACACAGCAACCTTCAAGCCCAGAACCTTGGAGGAACTCCAAGGACTCTACGTGCTTTGAAGAAGATGAAGATGAGGAAGAAGGGGTCCCAAACACCCCTAGACCCAATTCCCAAAGGGGTGTGTCAGGGGGCAGAACGGGGCAGAACCAGGGTGGGACAGAACTGGGATTGGATGGACCTTATTATAAAATCATAGAACGACTGTCTGAGGGGGCGTGCAAGGTATGTATTCCCTGGGCCTTAGGCCTGAGGTTAAAGGACCTGCTCTCTTTATCTTATCTTATACAATAAATTGGCCTGGAGTCTTTTTCTCCACAGTCTTTTAGGCAACACCAGGAATATTATCTACTTATTATTATTTACTTTTCAGTATTGTCAAGGCAGAAAGTGATGAAACAGCTGTCACAGAAATACATGTTAAAAGAGAGCTGTGATGTGTCCTGATGGGACAGCAGGCAGAACAACGCTCCATTTTCTGTATTTGTGCTGCTGGTTTCACATCCCCATATAACTGAAAAACTGGGCAAGTTGTATGTTCATACAAGAAGCAAAAGGATAGCATGTCCAATGGCATTGAGCTAGTACCTACCCAGCAGTAAAACTATACAGAAACTTAGTTGAAATACCAGCGTCTCATAACATCTAGCCCGTGCTTCTCTTCACACACACTTTGGTTATGCAGAGAAACTTCTTTACTGACTTCAAACGACAGGTTCTGCACTTCTCTGAAGCTCCTGGAACACATGAAGCTGAATCAGTGACTCCAAAGGACAGTGACTTCTGCTTTAGCCCAAAGACTACATACCTGGACATTGGTGTCTTTCTCCTACTATGGCCCCACCAGAATAAAAAAAAAGTAAAATGTGAATTTTCTTCCCTAAGACAAGAATCTGCAGAATACAGGGGCAGTTGGCAGGTGGGGGAGATGAGTAGCTTCAATGATTTGAGTTGTAATCTCTTCTGGGGCAATGAACGAAATATTCTTGAATATGTCATGCTTTAGCTCTTCTTCACTCTCCCAGTGGTACTTTGTATTTGTTGATACAATACTTGAGAAAAAAACCCCTAATCTATGCTCCTAAACAATGATACATTTGCAGGGTTGTTATTTAAGACACTGTTTCCAGTTCACTTCTCTGTCTCCCAGAGTTCTGCACTCCTACATATTTGCACTTACCAGGTCTGTTCTTGCTCACTGAAATTCTCACCTAAAGAGGCAGAGAATAGCACACTAAAGTAGTTCACTTGGCATGCACAAACAAAAACAAAGCCAACCATCCTACTTTGACTGTAGGTAGGGCAGGGACAGAAATGCAGATGGGCTGCTATAAAGAGAATTAAACTTACTGCTACCAAACCCTCAGTTAATCCTCCTCCATTCTATGTTCTGGATATATTCTGGCAAGGTTGATAGATTTTCCTTGGAATATTTAGTCAATAAGTCTTCCACCCAACTTTTGCAATTACCTTTGAAGCTCTTTATCCAGTTTCTGAGACACTTCTTTAAGCTCTTTCAGTGCAGTAAGTGCTTTTGCACAGTCTTCTGAGTGGCTTGGCATAATTTCTGTCAGAAGCTCCCGTGTGATCTTTAATTGCTTTCCCAGCTGATCTACAGGTGAGATGCTAAAGGTATTATTAAACATGCAGTGCCACCAGTTAATACAGGATATCAACAGCTGGAGTAACCCAGAGGTAAGTGAACTAGATGATGAAAAACTACTGTTTGTTCAGCTTTCACAAACACACTGTGAAAATGTGAAAGCCAAATTATTTTTCATTATTGTGACAAGCACTAGCAACAGGCTATTGAATGAGAGCTTGATTAGCAATTTTAGAGTGTGCAAAAGATTTTTAAGACAAATGCAAGAGAAAAAACAAGTTTTAAACATCCAAAATTCCCTGGCCAGTTACATGTATTGCTCTTGGCATGTAGCCCCCCAAGAAATTTATCCAGTCATTTCCTTCAGCATTCATAAACCAAAAAGAAACATGAACCTATTTATTTCAAGTCTTCTTACAAGAATTCTAAGTTCTTTAATAAATGTTTCCATTTGTTTTTAAGTGCAAGATTATTGTAAATTGTTTCTTGCAGACCAGTAGTTTAAAAATGTAACTTTTTGTCCAGACTTCAATACAAAACACATGTACTGATTTACTGAACATTCTGATTCAAACACAACACAATAATATTTAAGCTCCAGTTCTACAAGAAACATAAGCAACTCTACCCAGGTGAGTGTATCCCTCAAACGCAGAAAAAGGAAGAGATCACAGTATTCCTACATTTTCCTCATTAACATTTTCCTTATTTACTTATTTATTCCTACATATTCCTTATTTACACAGTAGGGACACAAGAAATGAGGAGTAATGTCATGAATACAGTTAAAATATACAGAAATTTGCTAAAGAAGGTGTATAGGAAGACTGACCCAGCTTAGAAAGTTAATCTCTTCCCTGCTGCAAGATAAAAAACCTGTTCAAGTGCAGTGAAGCAGTTAAACAGAGATAAGAATTACACACAGCACAATGTGTGACTAATGCTGCAGCCCAGTGTTCACACAAGCTCTAAGAGCACTCAAAATTCCTCCAATGGCCATAGACACATGTAGCAATAACAATATAAGAAGTTGTTTTAGCATAAAACCACTATTTCTGAAAGTAAATTTGGTAGATCAAGTTTTCATACCAAGATATGCTTGCTTATCTCCTTCTATGTGAATGTTCTTTATGGGTAATTCATGTCTAGTGGCATCCAGGGAAGCTGCAAAGCTTTTATATTGCTTTTGAAACTGTTCACAGACAGGAACAAGGGGAGACAGCACTTCAATCTGAAACACATACACAATGAACCAAGACTTCTCCAAAAGCAGCTACTTTGTAACTAAAAACATGGCTCAATACAGAAAAATAATTTATTAAAAAAAACCACAACCAAATATCACTCTGAAATGCTCACTGACAGAGGAATTCAAGAAGTTTGTGGTACAATAATCCCATCATGCTGTTTAATATGTTTTCCTCTACCACCTCAAAATGCCCAGGTCAATACCAGTTTCTTTGGTCCTGTAGCTCAGATGTATCAGCAACACAGAAGGCAAAAGGTTTTATAGTAGATGCTTTGATTACTTTGTTAACTGTACTTAACAAGAGTGTTCTCCAAAAGCCTTGTTTAATTTTTGCAGTGGATATTTGTTAAAAAGCAAAGAGAGATTCAGTTTTGAACATTAATTATTCATAAGAAACCTGTCTTCTTACAGCCAAACTAGAGCTGGGTAACACACAGAAACCAGACAAAGAAAGGACACAAGATATTCACTTGTCATTAAGGTTGGCATCTCAGCTCCAGCAGAGAAATATTCTCTGAATAAAGGGCTACTTCATATACGAGTTTGTTTAAATGTAAGAGAAGCATAAATTGTACTAAAACCTACCTGTTTGTCTAATGTTTCACTGAGCTTCTGCTCTCTCTCTTTAAGCAGAATTTCACGTTTTAACTCCAAGAGCTTCTCCTGTTGTCTCTGCTTTTCTTCACACAACATCATCAAGTTTTTTTCTGCTTTTTCCTCCAGCTTGGCAAGATTTTTTCCTGCCTATTACAACCCAAAAATATGCACAGTTAATGCTACACCTAAGCAATTAACAAATTCTGAGTAAACAGATGTAAACCAGGTCAAAGAGCTGTAACTAATGAATAGGAGACATCACATAATAAGCACAGAACATCAGAATTAAAGCCCAGAACATCAGAATTAAAGCCCCCCTCAATCCTCTTTCCCCTGCTGCTTTTTGTAAAGGAAAATACACACATACAGCACTGAGGGAAAAAACTCACTGTTATAACCTTGAACTCCAGCCAGACTCACACAGTTTTCCCAAAACTTCTGCATCCCCCCAAATCCTAAGAACCAGCACCAGATAAGAAACTGGCACTAAACTCACTCTAAGAGTTTTCAAAGCAAATAACACACTTTTACAACCATAATCACATACAGTCACAAAAATCTAACTTTTATGGATCAGGAAGCATTTAAGAAATTAAACAATTCCTCAATATCTGAAACACCAAATATTTGACTGACTCTCACCTCTATTCTTAAGTAAGTTAAAAGTAGTGTCTCAGATTCCAGCTCTGTCATTGAATCACTGGAATCAGTTTCCTTCAGAAAAGAAAAGAATACACTGCATCAAGTTTGGTATTTAAGCAATAATTTTTTCAGTGGTCAAATAAATTACCAGTAGTCCAATTTGTGCCTGGAATCATCACCAACAACAGTCAGTTTGATCAGAAAAGTTTGGGGTTTCAAACAACTCATGTTCATTAAATATACCTTATTGTTCCACAACATTTTATAATATTTTCAGCAGGTTTTCATAATACTGCCAGAGAATTTGAAGTTTTAGTCCTACATTGAATGAGAACCCTAAATAAGGCACTTCAAACTAGGTTGAATCAATGTTAGTTCTTTAAGCAAAAATGTCAGATAAATCTCAAAGATAAGGTGATAGAACTAAACAGGATAGGAATGCAAAAATAATCCACCTGAGGAGATGCTATAATTGGAACAGATTCTTTACCAGAGAGAAGTAAACTTCTGGTCAGTGTTCAGAGATCTGATAAACAAACCATTGCCATCAGAAGAACTGACTTCTGCCAGGAGGGTTTAGATCATCCCAGGACCTCAGTTGTAATCCAGATTACAGAGAAAGAAAATCTTCATTTTGCACATTTCAAAATAAATATCCTTACAAATGAAAGCAGTGAAACTCACTGCTCCGGTTTTGTCTGTCTGTGTCTGTGCATCTCCTTCTTCAGCCGATTCTGAACAATCACTCTTCTTGTGGACAGTTTTATCTGTATCACAACAAAAAAGTCAGTGCTCTCTTCTACCAAGATCTACAGGGTGGATCAACATACCATCAGGTTCTTTAAAGGCAGAGATAATTCCAAAATTATTATGTGCACCGGTAAAGAAGACTTGTGCTCTATGTCTGGCTCTGATATACTCATGAGCAGACATGGATCATGTGAGCATTTAGCTTTAAGTGACAGTTACAGACAGATGGGATCTACTTTTCAGAAGAGCTGACAGTCCAACACCCACCTGTTACAGAAACAAAGACTTGAGAGTACTTTATTCTTTAATTTTTTCTCTCCAACAAAACCAACAGGGCACCCAAAAGATACTACAAATTGAGAGGTTAATTTAAACCCTAAAAGTCTTAGTAGCTCTGCTTAAGGACACCAGAAACAACATTCACTTCATTTAACAAAATCCTTTTGTGAGTATACAAGAATACAATGATTTCTTATCACCATGTTTCAGCACATACATTAAAAAATAATAAAACCAGAAATCGAGTATAAATGGAAACGTACCATTAATAGCTGAGAGATCAAGGTCTGGTCTTTTAATTTTTTCTTCATCTAATAAGGTGGACTGCAAGTCATCTTTCTCAAAGATACTCTGACTTAAGCTATGGCCAACACCTGTGAAAAGAAGCTGTTATCAAACTAAAAGAATGTGAACAGGTTCTGCACAAATTCACAACTACATGTTGTAGAGGCACAGAGGAGCTGATTTTAGTCACAATCCCCCTCATCTCAGGCCACATCATGATGTGAAATCATGATTTCCTCATGATTTTCAAGTCAAGGCCTTACCAGAGAATTCTTTTGCAATTCTTACAAAAGAAATAAAAATGGACTGTTTTGCAGACAGGGATTTTCAGGCATTTACATTGGGTTTAATAAAAAGATTAAATAAAAAAAAAGGCAGAGTACAGGTGAGGGCATAGGAAAAGAACAGTTCAAAACCTTCTGCATAAGGCAGGAAAGATGCTTTTAGGCAGCCCAAGCATTCAATTCTAGATCCAGCACCTGAGTTCACATCTCTTAATCCCACATCAAGCTTCTCAGTTCCCATTTTTATACAAATAATGACTGGCAGAGATGCAAGTAATAAAAAATATCGCCATCTTAGAGCTGTTAAGCGTTTCAGAGGTTGGAAAAAAGAAAGAATAGCTTTGAAATACCGGCAAAACGTACCAACAGAAGTTTCATGTTTCTGAGAAAGAACTGATTTTGGTTTAGCTGCAGAAGATGGTGGGGCAGCACACAATGAAGAGGAACTTGCTGAAGCACCCTGCAAATCAACACACAGGTAAGACAGAACATAATCAGCAATGTACCTTATCTTCAACTCGAATGCTGACAACAAACAGCTACAATCCCAGGGCACCTTGCAAGTCACCTGAGTGCAGCCCCAAGCTCCCACCTGGTAACACACACAGCTCGCTCAAAACCCCAGCAGAGCCGGGTTTTTTGCCCAGGTCTCTCTGCCCTATGTCCGAGCCGCCCCTCACACCATTTCCACCCTTTGCTGAGCGGCAGTCCAAGTACCTTCTCGGTGTTCTTCCTGTCGTACTGCAGGTAACGAGACTGCACCGTTCTTCCTCCTGGAAAAGGGGCAAAGACAGCTCAGCTGGGCCCGACAGGTCGTATGCTCCTCACCCCTCAGCCGGCTCGGATCTCCCCCCTCAGCCGTACAGGGCTCCTCGCTCAGCCGGCTCGGATCCCTCGCCCTCAAAAGGGTTGGATCAAACCCCCCGAATGGCTCGAATCCCCCTCCTCAGCCAGCTTAGATCAACCCCCACAGTCGGGTCGAGGGTCCCCACTCAGCCGTACCGGGCTCCCGCCCTCAGCAAGCTCGGATCCCCCCTCACCTCACACGCCTACCTTTCCGCTTAACTACAGGCGCTTGTCCGCCCGCCGCCGCGGTGCCGGGGTCTCTCCTGTGCGCAGACATCCTGCCAAGGCAGTGGCGGGAGAGTGAAGGGGCCGGGCGGAGGTCGCTCCCCCTCAGCCCTGAGCCGCCTCAGCCGCCATCGCGTTTGAACCGGCGCGCCCGCGCAGCACTGCCCTGGGCGGCGGCGGCAGAGCGCCCCCTGGCGGCGCGGAGGGCTGAAATGAGCTACCTCAGCCTGAGGGGTCGCACCCGGCGGCTGCTGCGCTCCGGGTTAAATGAGGGTCTGGCAGTTCCTGGCTGGGCCCGAAAACCTTTTTTCCCTCAGGCGGCTTCTCTCTGCAACGTCAGCTGGTGGAACCCAGTTCTGGGCTCCTCAGGACAAGAAAAACAAAGAGCTGCTGGAGAGGGTCCAGCAGAGGCCACAAAGGTGATGAGGGGTCTGGAGCATCTCTCTGATGAGGAGAGACTGCGGGAGCTGGGCCTGGGTAGTTTAGAGAGCAGAAGACTGAGAGGGGATCTCATTAATTCATATAAATATCTCCTCGGTGGATGGCAAGATGATGGTGCCAGACTTTGTTCAGTGGTGCCCAGCGACTGGATGAGGAGCAACGGCCGTAAAATAAACTACAAGAAGTTCCACCTCAACATGAGGAAGAACTTCTTTCCATAGAGGTGGCAGAGCGCTGGAACAGCTGCCCAGGGAAGGCGTGGAGTCTCCCTCTCTGGAGGCATTCCAAACCCACCTGGACGCGCTCCTGTGTCACCTACTCCAGGTGACCCTGCCTGGGCAGGGGGGGTTGGACCGGGCGATCTGCAGAGGTCCCTTCCAACCCTAAACACTCTGTGATTCAGTGAACCGAAGCACACTACGCTCGGGAGCTTCTGCGCTGCCCCAGCGCTGTCACACATCGAGCAGCAGCCACTCCCGCAGCGGGAACTCTCGCAGCGCCGGGGGGCGACGCTCCCAGCCCAGGTTCTTGAGTTTTGACGGGAATTCGCCCACTGCTGCTGACAGACAGATGGCGAGACAGACACACAGACAGCACCTGGCTCCCGCTGCCCAGCTGTGCCGGGAGCCTCAGGCGGTGGAATAACCCTGGTCGGGTGTCGAACCCGCGGTCCCACGAACACGTTCCACCCCCAGCCCCCCGGCCCTTAGCGGGGCGGCGCGTGCGCGGTCCGCGCACGGCTCTGAATGGGTGCGCCTTCCCACCCGGAAGTGGCGCGCGCGGGGCCTGTGGTTGCGGCGGGGCTGGGGCGCCCGCGCTTCGACACCGGCGCAGGTAACGGGCTCCGCGAGCCTCCCCCTCTCGTCCTCCCGGTCTCCTCTGCCTCCTCCTTCTTCACTGCGGGCGACTCAGCGCTGCGGTGGCGGCAGCAGGGATCGCTATGGAGCGGCCGGGGCTGTTCCGAGGGGTGTGCGGGGGTCGGTGCCTTGGGGCGGTTCCGAGGGGGTGCCTGGGACTGGGTTCTGAGGGGATTCCGGGGGTGGGTTCTGGTGGTGTGTCTGGGGTTGTGAGGGGCTGTGCGAGGGTCGGTGCCGTGGGGCAGTTCCGAGGAGGTACCTGCGGGTCGGTGCCAGGCGGGTGGAGCTGTGGATTGGTTCTGAGGGGCTGTGTGGGGGTGGGTTCTGAGGGGGCGTCCGAGTGTCCGTTCTGAGAAGCTGTGCGGGGGTCGGTGCCTTGGGGCAGTTCCGAGGGGGTGTCTGGGGGTCTGTTCTCGTGGGATGTCTGGGGGTCGGTGCCAAACCGGGGAGAGCCGCAGGTCTCCTGCGCAGCCTTCCGGAGCTCGGGGCCGGAGCGGTTCCCCGGGACGCCCCCGGAGCGGATCCCGTCGGGGCTGGTGCCGTGCCCGGGTGCGGGGCTGCACCGTGCGGGGGCACATGCGGTGCTGCTGGACCCGCTCTGCATCTGCCGTGCCCGAGGAGCTGGAGGTGCTCCGGGGAAGGGATGTTCCTGATGCCAGGCTGTGCCTCCCGTCGCCGGGGCAGACCCGCCCGCTGAGCCGGGCACGGTGTTAACTTCCACCTCCTGTTCCTCCCATCTTTCAGCCACACAACCTTCTGCTTTTTCGCCTCTGACTCTCGGTATGAGCAGCCTGTAACCCTTCATACAAATATCTCAGCATCTTTCAAATGTTTAGTGAAAACTCTCAGAGCCCTTTTGTTTGTTTGTGTTGGTTTTGGGCAGCTGTTTTGACAGCGCTGCTGCCATGCTGGGGTTGTGCTTTATCGTGGTGACCATCGTTGCCCAATTGATTCATGCCTCTAGCTGTGTGTATGTCGGTAGTGCTCAGGCTTTTTGGTAAGCTTGGTTTTGCAATCTCTGAAAAGTAAAGCTTTCGCAAGCTGAGAACATCCTTTGTTACATGTTTCTAGATTAAAAGTAGCACACTACTACCCTGACTCATGACTCTCCTGACCATACAGTTGATATAGGTGTGTGTGATCCTAATGTAAGATGACTTCCCAGTGTCATTTTTAACCTTGTTTTCTACTACTCCTTAAATATTTTGGCAAAATTTTTACCCAACTTTGTTTGCAAGTCCCGTTTGTGAAAAGTGAGAAGCCCTTTGGATGCAAATGAGCTCAGTATTCTTTGATTTCACTTCGTGGAAATGGGTGGCAGTGGAGCAAAAGGGCTGGAGATGATCTCAGGCTGCTGGCAGATGCAGTTAGCCTTTCAGAGATGTCATCAGCATCCTCCCACGTTACTCCTAGAGGTGGATTGGTATCGGGGTGTCTGCCGAGCTGTTTGCAAATAGGAGTTTGTCATGGGTAATTAGGAACTCTTTGATTTCAGGCCTGGTAGCTGGAATCCATGGCTGAAGAACTTGACCTGAAGTAACAGTGTGAGGTAACTCTGCATTCTGGTTTGGGATGTGGGTGTCACATCCATCAGGTTTTAGTAGGCCCGCAGTGTCTCACTCAGAATCTTGTCAGGAGCAAATCCATTTAACGTAGGGGAAGCAGTTTGGGGAACTTTTAACGCATATTCATGTTATCGTCAAGATGAATTTTGGCTTTTTTTAGAAAAGAATTCATCTTGATTATTTTGTCTTTGAACTATGATGAGGTTCTCTGCCTCTACATTTAAAGTCTGATATCTTGGTTTTCAGGATGATGCATCTAAGGCCACTTCCTCAGTCTTTAGTCTTATTAGCATAAGACTCAGGATTTACTGCAGTAATGTAAAGGAACTGTGTTTGTAGAACTATACAGCTTTAGTTGGTTGGGGGTTGGTTTTTTTTTTTTAACCCTGCTTGAACGTTTGTCTCAACAAAAAACTTTTCCAGAAGTTGGATGCTTCTACAGTGACAGAGCAGCTGTTTGCACAAACACGGTGGGAAGAATCCCAGGTCTGGGTTTTCGGTGGAAAACACTTACAGGACTAAATAATTGAGGAAGAGTAAATGCAGCTGATGAAAAATTTAAATGAGCTTCACCTAGAGAGCAATGCTTTGTACAGACAGAGTTTTCTGACCACTAGTGATTCAAACATTAGACCTCTTGAATAATTCCATGTCTGAATAACTGTTTGACTCACATGCACATAGTTCAGTATGGCCTTTGCCAGCTAGAAGGTCAAAAGGCAGCATTTGCATATCCTAGGCATTAAAAAAGGAAAAATTCCTAAGAAATGCAACAGTATTGGCTGTCCCAACAGCCAAGAGAAGGAGTAAAAAATTCTGATTCAACAAAAAGGTTGTGGTTCAGAACTTTTTTTTTGCAAGTTTGAAGGCTGAAGGAGTTTATCACATTTCTAAGAAACAAGGTCTGTTTATGCAAATACCAAGGAGAAATAAAGCCTGAGATGCTGATAAGAATTTATTTTTTTAATAGAAAGAACTAGAAATGTCTTTATTTCAGAAAATGAAAATTCAGAGGTTTTGTCTCTAGTATATTGTGTTTTCTTGGTGTATCAAGTGACTTAAGTGGCTTTATTGTATTGTGCTTCTCTGATTACCAAATGAAACTCAATGCAGACTCTAAAAAACTCTGCTCTTCCTTTAAAGACCAAGGATATTTTACAATAAAAGTGTTTTTAAAGGTATTTTTGACATGTATATGTTCTGTTCACGTGAAAGTTCAACCCAAAGTTTCTTTAAAAAGTTTCTCATCGGTGTAAATGCAGCATTAGAGCAGTGAAATTTTGACTTCCTTTGTTGACAGCTGTAATGCTGTTAAGGATAAAATTAAGAAAGCTACAAAAGGTGGTAGAATAGTCTCCAAGATTCTTTTGGTTTATGTTCTTTACCTCTAAGTAAAGTTGTTTTGCCTTCATTCCTGTTTCCTCAACAGGGCCATGTTTTCATTCCCTCTGAATCATACTTACGTGTACATCTGTAACTCTGACATCGCACTTTTTATAAGGTAGTAACACGTCATAAATAGACCTTTAATGTCACTGTAAAGCCTGAAAAGGCATCCTTGTCTTCAGGTGAGGTTGTGCATTGAGTCACTCGGAGGAAGGTTTCTGTGCCTGGGAGGGTTTGAGGGTGTGGGTTGGGATCTCTCTGCAGGGAGCAGGTAACTGAGGAGGAACTGCCTGTACCAAAGGTAATTTCTTTGCCTTTTTCCTGTGTTACACATTGCAGCCCAGCTTCTCCTTTGCCAGGCACTCTGGGGCAGTAAGTTCCCTGCCAGGGTTGATTACAAAGAGTAGTTACAAATGTGTTGTAATTTTGCATGTTCCATTCAGAGCTCCTCCCTTTGGAGTAGAAAAAGCCAAGGGCTTTTAGTTAAAAAAACCCCCAAGGGTCTAAAATTTAGTCCAGTGGAATTTTTTGTAACCAAGGAAAACGTTGAAGTGTTTTTGCTAAGCAATATTCAGGTAATCTACAAATGCCTGGAATATTGGGAAAAATTAAAATTAATTCTGCTCAACTAACAACACCTTCTGTCCTTATGACATGAGGTAGAACAAGAGTCTGCATAGTTATTTGTGGAAATTACCTGCACTGCATAGTTATTTGTGGAAATTTTAAGGTGTCTCTGCAGCCTGTTTTGCTGGAAATTCCTTGCTTTGGAAATCAAGGATGGGTAATAGCTGGATATTTTTGAAATTGCTAAATGTTTTCAATTTGATCAGACAGAGCAGCCTCTTTTGGGGATGGTCATTGGCAATTCTGGTGTTTAAGAATATCAGAGGTCAAGTACCTGTGATCCATTTC